CTCGCGGAGAGCAGTCCGCGGCGCGTGGTCTTGTGGCCTTCTGCTACATGCGACGCAGAAAGGAGAGGCAGCTACAAAATTGCCTCTGACGTGGTGTTCGCTGTGATTCGGCACAACAACACGAACATCGATTATACTTACCCATGTGATTTCGTCGTTTGAAATGCAGACTAGATCACCCAGCGATGCAACACTGTGCCTGTTGAAGACATNNCATGTAATCTGCTACTTCTTCACGATTCGCTTCATGGCTTTCATCACATACCTTGTACAGGACGCTTTCATGGTACATTTCTTCTTGAAGGTTGCCTCACTGGTCTTCTTCTTCTTCTTAGTGTCACACCCATACGGCTTGACAACACCATACGTCTTGACGGCTTCGTTGTGGCGCTTAGCCATGTAAAGGATGACAAACTTATGCCGATTGCCACGGAGTTCGTTCAAGTTGAACGAAAAGTTGCGGAACCACGCGAAAATCTGCTCGCATATGCTGGTGTTCACACCCTTGATGATTTTGCCAAGCTTCTTGCGGCGACCTGTTCATTATCGAATAAACATTATATTCATAATCACTACAGCCATTAATTCATCAAGAATCCAAATAATGAAATACTAAAATTGCAAACAACCATATGAATGGCGTAAGGTTGTATGTAAGGGGCCGTGTGAAATGTACGTCTATTGGTGGTATCTCACTATGCCAGGATACGGGGATTGCATGAGCAGCGGTCTGAATGACGATAAGCATGAAACCAATCCACGATGAAGTTCTCAATCTGCTTCAAAGAATTGCGCGAGCTCGCGGCCCTAATAACACCACATGCGCGATCGCACACAAACGTCTTCATCTTGGGGTAGAGCCAAATGACACCCTCCAAAGACTCTAGGACGTGACTGTTGTTCTCGGGTTCATGCATGACAATGAGCGATAGGATTCTGCCGGTATTGGGGTCACACATCATGAACCATCCATTGCTGTGCTTTGACGAAGCTTTCGACTGCTTGTGAGGTCGTCCTGCATGTTTGACGGGTCCATCTTCACACCGGGGCTTCAAACCGAGACGACCATCCCCAACCAATGCCTTCACTTTCTGACGATTCTCTGGAGGGAACAAGCTAGCATGACAATACGCATGATAGAGGTCGAGGCTTGCATCGGCGATTTCATCATCAATCAACAAGGTCTTATGAAGGTTCAACACCTGAAACTCCTTGATCGCGAGATAATAGAACAAAGCCGTCTGGTGAAGCTTACTGAAGCCCGTGACGACATCATTGGGAACATCATCATCCGTCAAGCCGAAGACTGTGTTGTAGGCGTGCTCGATGGCTCTGGTAGACACATGACCACGGAAAAGAAGCTCTTCATGATAACGAAGATACTGAATGCTGAAGCACTTTTTGCCACTGACGAAAATCACATCATCTGTGAACTCCTCCACATCTAGAACATTGACTTTCTGCCCATCTTCCCACCGAAAGTTGTAAGCATAGGTGGACCGGCAATTTCTAGAACTACACTGCTTGGGCATATGAATCACATGTTGCGGACCGCCATGCCATAGCAAATGGCCTCAATATGCTTCTTTTCCACTAATGAGCCTCCGCACCCCGGTATGACGCATCGCGTGAGGGGGCAGGTGAATTGTGGAGTTTGAGGCTTTGCTGCTGGACGTTTGTATGCATTGCTGGAGCCGCCCTCGAGGTTGCAGAGCTTGTAGGGATCATGAGCATGTTTCCCAACCATGCGAAAAAAGTTGTGGTACCTGATTGTGCGAGCTGCTGCGGGAAGCTGATACTGCATCCACTCACATCGCCATTGTCGAAGTGCCGAACTAAACCTTCACGACACCATAAACCGGTGAAATGATTGTTGGAATGACATAGGTACATACCCTCCACGCCTACATGCACGGGCGACACCGGAACGAACTCAACGTTGAACTTCGAGATCATGTTGTTGAGAATCGCCACACTGAAGGGTCCACTCTTCACGACTTCTACCGGCAGCCCGAACCACTGAAGAACTTGCACACCGCATACATCGCGAAACAATCCATGCTGATTGGCACCACCTTTTTGGTATACAATAGTGTTCAAACATCTTGGTTTGTATTCCTACTTATTGGGGCGTCGGACGATAAGAATATGCATTGCTTATTGGGGGGGTCATTCACACCACGTTGCTTTGCTTGTTGGGGGGGTACCCCCCCAATAAGCAATGCTTATTCTTGTCGTCCGACGCCCCAATAAGCGAAACAATTCTAGGAATACGCCCCACTAAGCAAAACGATTCACATGACCATTTTTGGAGTAAACTGCTTTGCTTATTGGGGGGAAAGGAACGGGCATGTAGAGGAAAAGCACCCCGTTTTGTTAACCACACTCTTTTGGCGATCGGAGGCCGAACGACAGCCCAACACTGAAAGGAACGGGCATGTAGAGGAAAAGCACCCCGTTTTGTTAACCACAATCTTTTGGCGATCGGAGGCCGAACAGCGCCCCAACACTGAAAGGAACGGCCATGTAGAGGAAAAGCGCCCCGTTTTGTTAACCACAATCTTTTGGCCATCGAAGGCCGAACGACGCCCCAACACTGAAAGGAACGGGCATGTAGAGGAAAAGCACCCCGTTTTGTTAACCACAATCTTTTGGCCATCGGAGGCCGAACGACACATGTGCAGAGTGCAAACCACAAACTTGTTACTTCAAAAATGGTCATGTGAATCGTTTTGCTTAGTGGGGCGTATTCCTAGACTTGTTTCGCTTATTGGGGCGTCGGACGACAAGAATATGCATTGCTTATTGGGGGGGTCACTCAAACCATGTTGCCTTGCTTATTGGGGGTTACTCCAAAAATGGTCATGTGAATCGTTTTGCTTAGTGGGGCGTATTCCTAGAATTGTTTCGCTTATTGGGGCGTCGGACGATAAGAATATGCATTGCTTATTGGGGGGGTCACTCAAACCATGTTGCTTTGTTTATTGGGGGGGACACTCAACACATGTTGCTTTGTTTATTGGGGGGTTACTCCCAAAAATGGTAATGTGAATCGTTTCGCTTAATGGGGCATCTATAACTATGCGTTTATATGTATGACATCCACATGAAAACCGACAAACAAATACGAATCCCGCACCTGTCGGATTGTCATCCTCAACCACATCCATTTCATCCTTCCGCGTCTCACTTGCATCAGCCTGCTCCACGAGGATTTCGAGCTGTTTTTCGAGATCATCATCATCAGGACCCCCACCCACTGCGATATCATCTAGATCGCCGTCCTCACGGTCGAGGAAATCCGGATTCCTAACGATATTGGCCGCATGTGCTGCAACTGATGACTTCGATGAGGAGGCGCCTGTCTCCTTGGGAAATGTACGACGTTTCGTATCCGGGCTGGGCGAATTGAGGTCAATCTGGATGGGGCCATTGCGCTTGAGATTTCGGAAAACTGTGGTGACCTGCTCTTTCTTGACTCGGACACGCATTGTGGCATCATCGAGTATGCGGGGTGCGATTTGTCGTGGTGGTTGTGGTGTGTCTGAAAACAAGCTTCGTCCACGAATTGTGACCGTCCGCGGGAGGGTTTCCCCCTGGAATAGGCGATGAAGAACCTCCAATGACCAAATCATGTCCTGCTGGAAGCTTTCTGGGAGACTATGCCTGTGAGGGTCTTTCTTGTAGGCCTGAAATATGGGCTTTTCGGCGGGGGACAGCAAATCTTTGGGTTCATCCTGTTGCCATGAAACAAACTTCACGTCGTTTTTCGAGGAGCTTGCGAGTCGCCAATAGATGCCGAAATCGATGATGACGATCATGTGCGTGCGGGCGAGAATAGCATCCATATCTTCTGTATCGTCTATGCTCGCAAAGGACGGTTGGATCAACTTGACGAAATTCTCATGCTTGATTTCCCAAATACCTGATGCTTGCATCTTTTGGTACATGTCCTTGTCACACTCTTGGTCGTACGGGTTGTTACATGCCTGCCGTCCCGCACCCTGCTCGAAATATGCTGACGAATAGCGTGCCCACACGGTGGCATCTTCTTCCTTACATATACACACATTCGTCCATGCAAACTTTTACTTATCTTTATAAGCTATGTATACATACTGTTTCGCTCCTAGACATGCCTACGCTTCTAAGGGTCATATTGCATGTTGTTTACAAATAAGTACACAAAGCAGAATACTACAGCAAATAACTTCTATGAAACGACGTCTACTCTTACTTTCGGGCGCAACGTCACAAACCCAAATATGACAAAGCCCGTTGAATGTGTTAGGCGAGATTCCGAGGGATTCAAAAATGCTTTGAGGAACGAGGCATCCATCTTCTGCAACATGCCGTCGTCGAAGATGGCAGGTTTGAATTTGGATACCGGCTCGGACTTGAAAAAATCCAAGTGCTTCGCTGTTACGATAGCCGGCGAAAGATCATCCCGGTCGGCTTGCTCGATTTCGTACTTCGATTGACAAAACGCCACGGTTTTTGAACCGAGACTCTTACCTGTACGGGTTTTCCCGATCCAGGTGATGCCATGTTGACGAATGGAGCCCAGCATGTGCACGAGGATGCCATCGAAAAACCACCCCGTCATACTCTTCAATGTAAACGGCCAATACTCTAGAGTTTTAGCATTTTGTCTTCCGCGTGAGTAGTTGTGGAGTGCGGTGATGACCTTGCTTTCTTGCCAATTCTCGATAGGACTGCCTGCTTCATGGATTTTTGTGTCCGTCCACTCCATGAACCGGTTCACGTTGTTAGCCCGCGGTCCATGTTCCCGTATGAAGCGATAGCCGGCCTTCCGAGCATCCTCATCAATGGTAGCCTTTTTCTCGAATTTGGGCTGGACCACCCAATTTCGAATCTGTTTACCCCCCATCTTGTCCATCATGTAAGTGAGAGCCGTGAGAGCTAGGCGAGTGTGCGTGCCCCAATCGAACTTGAGCGCCAACCCAAAACACATATCAATGCAATCCTTTGCGTTCGCTTTGTTTCTGTGCAAGTAGACGTGCTTGAATATGTGCACATAGGAGTCGGTGGTAGCAGGGTCACAATCTGGAGGTGGGCTTGCTGGCAAAATGATCATTTGCATGGTATACGGCACCTTTGGTTCTGGAGCTTTGTAATTTGCGGTGTTGCATTCCTTCACAAGCTTCTCCTCAAAGAAATTTTGCGAGACGTCAACCTTGACATGCTGCACCGCATCACAAAACTGCTCGATTTTGCCCGAAGAAATCTCGAGGAAACGAACAGGAAGATCTCCGACTTTGACTTCACCGGGTTCGCGGATACATGGGACTGGTCTTGATTCTGGGCCCTTCAATCGTAGACCATTTACATGAACGACGGCTTCATCGAAGGTCAAAGACCCGTCAAACCCCCCCAGTTCACGACTGAGCCCCGGTATTGAAGCACCGGGAAAACTCATCGCGACAAATAGTTTCTTACAATTTGTTTCACTCTTGAGTGGCAATGGCTACGACGTATGCATGTTAGCCCCTGCACGTCTACATAAACATACACGTCTACACATAACATGTCGAAATAATGTTTTAGTCGTGCTGCGAAAGTGCCAAAAAACGCACTCTCACAGCGACCCGGTCTCTATATATATATATATACACCCGCACACATAGACTATGTAGAGAACAGGACCGCGCCTTCACAGTGTATACCAGTGTATACCTTCGGGCTCTTGGTACAATCTGAAATCTTACGAAGCTTGAACCGCCTAGCATACTCACTAAGGAGAAATACATCCATAAATACATCTACAATTGTATACATATATATACACACACAGAGAGAAATAACTATCTATATATATATATATACAGACATACACATATGGTTACAGACGTAAAACATGAAACCCGCATATAGCACAGTGTATAGATTCGGATCTTAGTACAATCCGAATTCGCGGGAAGCTTCAATCCTCCGTGCTTAAGCACCAAGGGATCAATTCGAACAAGGCTTAGCGCCCCTTAAGGCCCCTAAACTCGAAAACCTAAGGAGTAAGGTTTAGAGGTTTAGGGGTTTAGGGTTGAGGGGATTAAAGTTTAGGTTTTAGGGGTTTAGGGGTTTAGGGTTTAAGGCTTAAGGATCTTGACAGAGGACTAGAGGATCATGGGGGAGCAAAGAATGGCAGGGTTGTAAACTTGCTGATCCGGTGTCCTGGAACTCAATACTAGGGTTACACTTCCCGACTAGATTTTGGGGTTCAGGTTCTGGGATTTAGGGTTTATAAGTTCTAGGGTTTAGACTACTTGACAAAAGGGCAAAGCCTGCCCACTTTACTACTACTACTACTACTACGCACCGGGCTCTCTGGGCGCCCGGTGTTCAGAGCAAAGTCCTTGGAAAGTGCAAGTGCGCGATGTACCGTAAATTACAGTACGTTTGTAGTTTTCGAACAACATGTCTGCATTAGGGGCAAAAGCCCTGCGGGGGAGAAACTAATTAGTTTCGGTGTAGTTGCAAGACTTCCTAGGTGAGCCAAGAAGCAGAAACTAGTGTAAATACCAGCTAATTGTGTACAGTCGTGGCAATCTTAGGCATGACCGG